TCACATTGTGTTTTGTATTAAAAATAGATTTTGCTGTTACCATAATAACAGAATATCTTATTAGTAATAATATTGAGTGCATAACGAATAAATATATAAAATCGCATTTATTGAATAAATGTTTCAGTTGCCATAAGAATAGAATATCTTATTGCTCAGAAGGGGATATTGGGCTATGTGACTAATAAATATATAAAATCACATTGTGCTTTGTATTATGGAATATTACTATGATAACAAAATAGCTTAGTGTTAAGAAGAGGAGGTTGGGCTATGTGACTAATAAATATATAATATCTTTTGTTTTCTAATATGAAATAGATTTTCAACACGCTTTACAGATAGGAAATTTTAGCTTAAATAAGACTTCTCAGTTTTAATTCACTATTATAGAGACCATAATTTTCTCATTTTTAATGATTTAATGTCTAGCCAAAGTCAATGCTATTTACAAAATTTAAGATTGCATTTATTTTAAAATTCTGAATTTAGCATGATCTAACTAATGCTTTTATCCACTGTGCCCTGTATCCCTGAGGATAAAGGGTACAGTTTGACATTCCAACCACTTGAAGAAGGCCGGAGCGTACAACGGCCGAAATGTTGTGATAAATATGGCAGCAAAGATGAGGGTGATATTCCGAACAATGTAAATAGTGTACATAATACCTCATCTCAGAAATATAGACAGATGCTAGGACAAGCTCGATTTATTTGGGAAGAATATTTACATTATTTAAAACTGATACAGTGGTACAAATCGCCTGCATACGGATAGTAAATGAATTAAGTAAATACACCCCTTTCTATTTTTGGTGTAAGACAAGAAATAGTAGAGTGGGTGACGCGAATGGGGGGAATTTTACAATCTTTTATTATGGGCACAACGGGGTGGATTCCTTTTGGACACTGTCTCTGGTTAACCTAGACTCTTTTGTTCACCAAATTAATAAGAGTGATTGTTGTTATTGGCGTTCTCTTTTGTTATTGTCCTTGTTAAGATTCCTGGGTCAGCCTTTTACATTTTCAAACTCCGTAATTTATTTTGTCCTTCCCTTGCTACTAGCAGACAAGCTTCTTGATTCTGTTTATCAGCAGAATACAGCGGTCGCTCTTATTTTTCTGTGTGTTGGACAGGTCTTACTAGCAATTTTATTTCAGTTTGAATGTTTTGTTTCCTTTTTATTTTTGTTATTGGGTTCATCCGCTCCACCATTTCATGTTAAATTTTTATATATTTTTGTAATAGCAGTATAAAAAAAATAAATTTTGTCTATTTGAAATGTTTATGTCATAGGTGTTTCAGTGGGACACCTGTGAATATGTGGTATTTTGGTAAATGTTGGATTGGATGAAGACAGGTTGTTTTTCTTCATTTCTTACAGTTTTATCTTTTATGAGGTCAAAGCCTGTAAAACTGTTCATAGTGAATATGTTTTTGGCCAGTTCATTGGCCATTTTCAAGAGGTTTGTTGTTAGTATATTTTCCTGTTTATCTTCTAAGCTGGGTTGTTTAGAAGTAGTAAAAATTCTAAGCTATGCTGGATGGGAGAAAACAGTAATTCCGCGATGTGTGACTTTAAAAGACAACCAACTGCTCTGTTTTAATTGTTTTAGAGAACCATTTTTGCCTTCCTTCCATCAGAATGGCTGATGCTAACCTCCAGGAGAGTGACTCCTTGCATCTTCTTGGTCTAACACTTTTCAACTAACATGAAGTGGAAAGATTATATTGCATCAATTCTTAGGTCTGCTGCTAGAGAAGTTGATTTACTGTGTTGTGCTAGACAATTTCTCTCAACAGAATCTACCTTATACATTTATATGTCTACCATTTGTCCATGCATTGAATATTGCTGCCATATCTGGTCTAGTGCTTCTGCTATATATTTAGAGATTCTTGATAAAATTCAAAGAAAAATCTGCAATGTTATTGATTCTGACCTGGCATCTCAACTCCAGTCTCTTTCCTATGATTGTAACGTGGCTTTCCTATGTATTTTCTATAAATATTTTCCTGGTAATTGTTCTGATAAATTTTCCTCTTTGGTACCTAGAATTACAAAGTTAAACACAGTACTAGATTGGCAGTTAGGTCTCATCATTTTATAGTTGAAATGGATAAATGTAACCATAAGTTCTATGCTATGTTTTTGGCTTTATCTTTAAATATCTTTCCCAATTGGATGTTTTTAGAATGATAGTTTTATCTACTTGGACTTTTCTTATTGAGCTATAGGCCACATGTATTGAGCACCAAGTGAGTATTCAACTTGCTACACATTTGTAAAGGTCTAATAGGACTAAATTGCTTACCATAGTGGTGAATCTTATAATTGCCAAGATAATTGTAGTCTAGTAGAAGATCCCATATGTGGAACACCCATTTAGGATTCAACTTGAGACTGGATTTTTAACCATTACTCTACAGCAGAGACACTTATAATTACCAAGGTAATCTTAGTCTGGCACAAGGCTATATATGTGTAGCACTCAGTTGGGATTCAACTTGCTACACAGCAGTAATGGTCTAATAAAACTGAATTGCTAACGATTAATTAATTGTGGAAACCCTTATAATTACCAAAGTAATCTTAGTCTGTCACATGGCCACATATGTGGAGCACTGAGTTTGCATTCAACTTGCTACACAGTGGTAAATGTTTAATGAGATTGGACTTTTAACCATTACTCTATAGTAGAGATTCTTATAATTACCAAAGTAATCTTAGTCTGGCACAAGGCCACGTGTGTGTCATTGTACTACTAGGCAATGAGTAGAAGTCTTAGTAAGCACTAATCTCTATCTATAAAAGGCAGGATGTGTGTGCGTGTGTAACGAATGCACGGCCGCAATTTTCGACGGATTTGCACCAAAATTTACATGCACATACTCCAAGTTAGCGGGAAGGCCAAGATCGACTTTGCATTTCCCAACTCCCATCGATAGTGGAAATAATCGATTTTTTCATGCTTCTGTGGCAGTTTTCATGTAGTTTGCGGCCATTTTCTACTGGCCAGAGTGAAAGCCAATAGCTGGCTGCCACGAATAGGCAGGAAGATTCTATTGGTCAGCGTGAGAGCCAACAGCTGACTGACACGAATGTTAACTAGCATGCTAGCATGCAAAAAAAATCGATAGCTGCATTCGTCACAAGTGGGAAAAATTTAAATCTGCATGGCACTTTACTCCAATTGGCTCATTCGCTTGCTTAAACTCAACGTTGATTCTGATTCTGCAGAACTGGGTTGGGTGTGAAACAGTATTTGTTGTTAACATTCTTTTTTCATTCAGTTTTTCCAGTTACGAGTCCTTTTTTTTTAAAGCTGATCGTTTTGTGTTCATTTTGTTTAGTTCTTTTTTCGTAACAGATTTAATGTTTACTATAGAGCTTAGAAAAAATTCGCAGTGTGAGATAGGCAAGAAGTAAGGCATGTAACAACATCAGCACGGCAAAGGGCAATCCTTTAAAGGCAAGGAAGGGCAAAAATATTTTAAGTCAAATGATAGCGATTGCTGTATGAGTCGTACGATTTTTGAATTATGCACGGGCAACGCCGGGTCATGCTGCTAGTCTATAATAAATCTTATTAATCATCTACAGCAGTAGAGATAGTTTGCATGAAGCATGAAAGGGAATCGTGTTTGTGGTTACTATCCTCAGTTCCTGTTTTTTTTTAACCTTCTTATTTTTTTTTCAGTATCCTTGACCTTGAAGTGAAAAGTGTTTTAAGGAAGATCTATTAACAATCTGCAGCAAACCTGAAATGTAGAGTAAAATAGAAAAAATGGCAAAAAGAGAAAAGAAATACTCCCAAGTATTTGAAAACAATGTTAGAAGTGTGTTTTACTCTTCTCAACCTGATACTTTCCCTAAGAAAATAATGAATTTTCAATCTTTTTTTTTAGATACTGTTACAAGCTAAATTTCATCGTTCATCTGACAAAAGTGAGTTGAAAACAGCAAGCATAAAACTTGAGGTAGGGTCGCCTATATGGAGGCATGGATGGTATAATGGTTATTAGCATGGAAATTGATTTTGGCATGTCAAATTCAATTCCTTCGTAATTCTGTTTCATCTAGGAGAAGGGAAAAATCTGAATTCAAAACCAGCCTGAAGAGGAATGGGCTGCTTGTCCTCGTCTAGAGATGCCAGTTCACTTTTGGTAACCTGTCGGTGCCCATCCCTCTATAATTCAGTAATGAATTCAGAGTTGTCCTTCGCTTATACTGGTAGAATGTTAATGTTGTAGTGTTCATGAGAGTAACCACACAGGGGTTTATTCCCACAGAGTAGCAGCTCTCATGGAAAAATCTGTCTGAGTGGAACGTCCTTCTTGTGCAGGAAATGTTAGTGATTAGACTCTGTGAGTGTATAAAGGAGAGTCCTAATTTTAGATATCTGAACTGGGGGAATGAAAGAGTGGAGCTCATCTGAACATTTGTCATGGAAATAGCGATAGAGTGTCAACAAGCTTTCGACATTGCGTCTGCGGGGAAAGAGGCTGCAGAGTAGAAAATAATTCTTTCCCCTACAAGACCGTATAAACGATTTTGAATTCTATCAAGGTTGGAAAGTGAGAACTGAGGAGCTCCAGCCCAGACAGGATGTGAATAAACTTCTCACTTATCTGTTCTCTTCCCCATCAAGGGTATTTGCGTGTAAGTGAATATAACAAACCCAACTGGAATTGGAACTCGGCTCTCTGATTTTCAATTAAGAACCGTTATCCATTAGACCACCCGCGCACCCAAGCTTACAGCACCTGATATTAGCAGGCACCCATCCATCTATGTACTAACCAGACTCAACATTGCTTAACTTCGGTGATCGTACAAGAAGCGCTATTTCAATGTGATATGACAAGACATTTTATCAAGATATTTAGTAATCTGACAGAGTACAGGGACGTGGATTCATGCCTTCCTCAATAGCATTAATGCTTCGGAAACCCAAGCAAGCTGAGCTGAAATTTGAGCTTGTTTTCTGCACATCCAAGCACCTGGTATTCCAAAGTAGCCACCCATCTAGATATTAACCAGGCTCGGTATTGCTTAACTTCGGTGATCGTGCGAGAACTTGTGTTTCAACTTGATATGGCTGTAAGCCTAGTGACCAGACATTTTAACAAGATATATAGCAGTCTGATAGAATACAGGGATATGGATCTATACCTTTCTCAATAGTCTTAATGCTACGGAGACCCGAGCACACTGAGCCGTAATTTGAGCTCGGTTTCTGTTAAATGATATTATTATGTCTTCTGTTAATCAAATGTCGGCAACATACATTTAATGTCTTATCTCTTAGGCCTTTTGTAAATAGCTGCTATATTATAACCTGATCTGTATCCAGCATTCTGCATTTCTGAATTAAAAACAACAGAAATTTCCCTCTTTCTCCTGTAAAGGTCATGGGTCAAAGATAAGCAACTGTCAGGTTATTTATGACCGCTTCATTGTTTGGCCAAATCTAAACTTTTATGAGCAAAAAAACAAAACATTTCTGTTTTCATGATTTATAGGGGAATATGACATGGAGGAACACACAAACACATGTATGTGTATATATAGAGATATGAGTGGCTCTTGTCGAGGTTGAAAAAGGATGTACTGGAACTAACAATTGAGTAGTAAGCTAATGAAAGAGTGATTTGTTCAAGGTCTACTTAACCCGTTCTCTTTCCCTTAGGCTGTGCTAGTGATAAGACATTTTTTGTCAAGATGTTTAATAGTGTGCAGGGAAAGTTGGATTCATGTCTTTCCCAAGTGAACACCAGTAGCAGTCTCAAATTCGAATTGAGTTTGCTGATTTTATTTTCTATACTGACAACGATTATATCGTCACAGGATATTTAGCACATATATAGACTGCAAGGAAGGGTGGATTCATGCCTTTGTTAGCATGTTAGTACTAAAACAACATAAGCAGCCACAGCTTAAATTTGAACTTGGTTTACTGATCTTATTTTCTGTACTGATAACCAATAACCATTATGTTATCTAGCATTTCCATTTTGATTTAGTATATATAGAGAATTCAGGGAGAGGTGGATTCATGTCTTTCCCAAGTTTATTAATACCAAATCAATACCAGCAGCCCCAACTTAAATTTTAAATTTGAATTTGGTTTTGCTGATTTTTTTTTCTATACTGACAACCATTATATTGTCACATCACGTCTTTTTTAGTACACACACACACACACACACATATATATATATATATATATATATATATATATATATATATATATATATATATAAATAAAACTGGATGTAATGGATACATGCCTTTCCCAAGTGTGTTAGTACTAACTCAGCATAAGCAGTCACAGCTTAAATTTGAACTCAATCTACTGATCTCATCTTCTGTGCTGATAATTATTACGCTATACCTGCATCACTTGTACATTGATATATTGCAGGGAGATGTGGATTCATGCCTCTAGAAAAACATATTAATATTAAATAAATATAAGCTACTTCAGCATAAATTGCTGATTTCAATTTCTGCTGTCCGGAAAATTTAGTACATATATAGAATGCAGAGAGAGGTGGATTCAAGCCTTTCCCAAGATTATTAGTACTATCAGTAAATAAGTATTAAAATTCTTGGCCTTTTTGGACAGTTTGATCATCCCGGCTACTGGTGCTAGTAGGCACTATACAATTACCTTAGATACCTCAGCCGACCAGACCCGTTTAGGAGTAATTATTTTCTATTTTAGTACCAATGTAATCTGTTATATAGCTGGAAAATATTAATCACTTATATGCTATAAATATATATTTGTTTCCAGTTGAATTGCTTTTTGTTATAGATAGGAGGAGATACCATAGCTAACCATTTAACGATGCTGATTCTTTTCTTAGGTAAACAGAAATGCTTTGGGAATGTTTTTTTTTTAGATCTGCTAGAAAAGTTGCTTCTCTGTACCTTTCTAGACCAGCATTTTTTAAACTATGGGTTGAGACCCCATTTGGGGTCATGACGCGAAATGCTGGGGTGGCGAAAATTAAATTCAAACACTTGAATTTCAGTTTACATGTTATTTCACGAGCTGCGCTAATAAAACGCGCGCGCGGCGCCGTTGCGGCTCGTGCAGTGACAACGGATGTATTTTCAGGGTAGGTGGTTGATAGCTGGGGTCGTGAAAAATCTCGTCATGAAAAATGGAGCCAGGAAATAAAAAAAAAAAAGAAAAGAAAAAAAGAAGCGCTATTCTAGACAGTTTCTTCATACCAAAAGCTATTTTACAAATTTTTAACTCAACCATTCATCCGTGCATTGAATATTGCTGCCACATCTTGTCTAACGCTTCTGCTGTGTTTCTAGAGGTTCTTGACAAAGTCCAAAGAAGAACCCGTAATGTTATCGGTCCTGACCTGGCATCTCAGCTTCAGTCACTTTCCCACCGCCGTCACATAGCTTCCCTGTACTTTTTCTATAAATATTTTCATAGTAACTGTTCTGGTGGGCTTCCCTCTTTGAAACTTCAACTTTACAAATTTAACAAGAGGCTTGAGATTTGTGATCAGATTGAAATGGCGTCCTACAGCATTTTGCGGAACTTTTTAATAGCAAAGACTATTGCTAATGCTTATTTTTCAATTTAGCTATAATTACGCTCTGCTGGTGTCAGTGATCTGGGTGCGTGAACTATTGCCTTTTGGCTACCATCAGGGAAAATGTAAGAAATGACAGAGCCAATGCCATAATTGGAAGCATCAGAGACCACCACAATATCAACGGATGGGTTGTAATGTAAAGCAAAAGATTGAAAGAAAGAGCTTTACCTTTTTGAAGGCTACCTGACGCGCGTCAGACCACTCCCATGCAACATCTTTTTTCAAAAGATTGTTGAGGGGTACAAGAACTCGATGACGTTCAGACAAAAAAGTACTGTAGTGGTTAAACAAACCAAGAACGTAATTTTGTTACATTTATCAGTGCTTGCATGTTTTTTTATTGCTGAAATATTTTCCGGATTTGGTCGTCTTCCATTTTTGTCGAAAATAAACCCAATATATTTTATTTGTTTTCGATAAAATTCAAACTTTTCAGCTTAAACACGGAACCCGTATTGTGAATTCTACTGAAAACAAAAAAATAAACATTACAAAAGTTCATCTTGATTCGTTCCTGCAACAATGATGTCATCGATAAATGCTGCAACTCCTGTCAATCCGGTCAGCATGGCGTCCATTGTCTGTTGGAAAATGGCTGGTGCTGGTTTGACACCGAAGGTAAGACGGTTAAATCTGAATAATCTGTCGGAATTATCCCCTCCTTAATTCCCAAATTTTCACTAGGGGCCATTCTCTCTATACTATAAATACTGCGCGGCCTCTTGCCTCGTTCTTTTTCTTTCAGGCCTCAGGCCGCACTCCACCTCGCGTGGAGGTGAGGTAAATCCTCCTTTTAATTTCTTCATTTCAGCGACTACAATGTAAACTCTCTTAGGAGCTAGCGTTTCCCACTTGGGCGAAGACGCCATGAACATTATACACGTGCGTACGAACACTCGCCAAAAGACAAACACAAATGTTCACGCGCATATACAAATATTATTGTCTATGTCCATTGTAAAATTGTTTTATTTAATACATATATTTGTTTATATATATATATATTATATATATATATATATATATATATATATATATATATATATATCGGTCTTGTTTGTCTTCTTTTCATCTTCGGTTGGACACAACTAGAGTCCGCCATCTTTCTTGTATCTTGACCTTCTTCTAGCAGGAAACATAAACGCACGTGTTTTCTTTTCATCTTCACCCCACGGTCCACTACATAATGGTGACTTCCCGACGTGAATTTTCAACTCTTGCTAACAGACACAAGACGGTATATATGTACACACATTTTTACACAGACCTTCCAAACGAGAGCCAGTCAAGAAAAACATTGAAAAACTTCTTTTCCTATCCTAATACGCACGCCGTGCACTATTAACCAAAAAACTTTTTTTTCTTCAACACTTGGAAATTTCAGAAGCTCGAATCAAAACTACAACTGTAACTACTACTATGACACGAGCCTTACAACACTCCTACTCCCACTTGTCTATTTGCTTGACCTTTTCTTTCTCTCGGCAACGTTTGACCTAATTTCACCCGGCTTACCAAACAGAAAACGAAACGTGTGTGTGTGTCTGTACGTTTATATATTGGATCGGATTTCCTACATTTTTCAACCGATTTCAACAAAATTTCACAGGACTACGTAAAATTACCTTGTGGTGGTTCTAACAGCGCCAAAAATTGGAAAATCACAATTGTTTTTGCACGAAATCAATTTGAAAACACGATTAAGAGGCATCACGAAAATGAAAGGGGGACAACTCATATCGAGTTATACTTATTATAAAACCCAGGTTGTTTGTGTATGTGTGTGTTCGTTTATATATGGGATCGGATTTCGTACATTTTTCAACCGATTTCAACAAAACTTCACCTTTTTTGGCAGGTAGTGTTTCTTATTGTCTTGCACACTTTTTTTCTTTATTTTTACATTCAGAATGCTTTAAAAATTCCATTTACAAGACAATTGTTTATAATAAAATTCTATTCAATCGGTAGACTCATAATGATTGAAAACAATGTTTTTGTTTGAGTTTGGGTTTGACCAATTTGTAAAAAAAAATATTAAAAAATCTAATAAAGACATGTGTGTCCGTCAACCTTAAACAATAATCTTTGTCAATTTTATTTTTCAGTCTTTATGATGGTCGATACATGATCTATCTCTTACTGTTACATCCCAGGGCAACGCCGGGCTCTACTGCTAGTCTTTAAAAAAATCGCTAAAGTTATTTTTAAGTTCGTCTGTTTTCAATATCAGAAACCAATGAGAAGTTAAATATATTGAACACAGATTTCAAAAAGGTTAAGTTTTGCTAACCAATCAAGACCAATTAAATTTAATTCCGAATTATCTATGACATAAGGTACACCAGAAAATGTTCTATTTTGAAAGCAAACATCACAAGTTGTTAACTCACCAGTTAAACGAATTATACTTCCAGACGCGTTCATTGCTATCTGATCTGTTTCAGACACAAATGGTTTTTCAATTCGAATGTAA